ACCACGCACCATGGGCCTAGGAGAGTTGGCTCTGTCCCTTACCTGAGGTTGTCCCAATGACCCAAACCAAACAGCTCGGCTACCACTCAGACCTGCATCCTGGATGTTGGGTTGGCCCGCCTTTAAGCTGCACCATCTTTGACCTGCTGGGCAAATGGACTGCTCCTCCAGGAAGATAACCGCTTCGCCATAACTCAGGGCAACAGTAAGATATCTGAGAGGAATTTCAGTGAGGGCCCAGCCGGGTGATGCTGGTGTACCAAAAACCAGAGGCCTTGAACCAGACCAATGACTCGATGAAAGGAATATTTTGCAGTGGGGCCGATTAGACAGAAAGGGTATATTACTACGTGAGACACTGCAGCTCTCGATGCCGCTAGGATGAATGAAGAGTTGTTGGAAAGATGGTAGTTTTTTGTTGTTTTGGTTTGGTTTTAATTAATTTGGGGATATACTTCAGGGGCAAGGGGCAGATATGGAGTGATTGGGAGGTGAGCAGCATTGGGGTACATGATGTGAAATTTTCAAAGAATCAATAAAAAAAAATGTTTTAAAAAATACTGTTTGTTGTCTTCCACCAAGGACATGAATCCTCAGACACCAGAGGTGCTTTTATTCCCTTTATTTCTACTCCCCCCCCACTGAGACAAGCATGCTCTCCTAGAAGAAACTATACATATTTTAGTGCTAACTTCACTGAATACCAGAGATAGCAAAAGATAACAGAAGAGACATGGAGTTAGCTTAATTGACTGGACAAACACAACAGAATGACATTTCAGGAAGGAAAATAAGTGTGAATGTTTGTCTTATCACAAGGCTCGGGAAGTCACTTTATCCACAGCTATTAAAATAGAAAGAATTTACAGGGTTTAGGGACCTAATAGCACATAAACAGATCCAGGCTTTGAGAAATCACCTAAGTTAGTAGTTTCTGCATGTTTACAGAACTGAAACACTTTAGTGTATAATATTTTCAAACATTTTCAACTGGTACATATTTTAACAATTATGAGAAATGCAATAATTCAATACTCTTAAAGTGCAATGGCCTAATGAAAGTAATAAACATTTTCATTTCCTCAAACATGTGTCATTCCTATTCATTGGGACTTTTTTGCTTGCTTTAAAAAGTACCATAAATGGTTGTACAATGGAGTCACTCTACTTCATTGCACAAGACTAGAATAAGTTTCTCCTGTCTGACTCTAGAGTGGTACCTTGTGGTGATACATTATTGTGAAAATAACACTTATATCCCAAGAGACTGCAACTTGTGCTGAACTTCACAGTCAAGTTAATAATACACCCTAAGATCACTTAAGATTTAGCCTAATATCTTGGTGTGTTTTCAGCCTGTTTGTTTAACTGCCTTAAAGAGAATCATGAAACAGCCATCCTTTCTTGTCTTGGATTTCCCATGTAAGCAGCATTTACAATGTAAACTAATGTATAGCTTTGATGTTAAATTATGTACTCTTGCACATCACCAACTCAGAGCTGTGTGTATGTGTGTGTGAAGATAATCATTTGCTGAAAACAGGCAAGTCAAAAGTAACCTTATGATGCCCAATCATACCACAAGGACACTTGTTCAACTATGTTCATTGCAGCTTTATTTGTAATAGCCAGAACCTGAAAACAACCTAGACGTCCATTAACCAAGGAATGGATAAAGAAAATGTGGTACATTAACACAATGGAGTATTACTTAGCTGTTTAAAACAAGGAAATTTGAAGGCAAATGGATGGAACCAGAAAAAAATCATCCTGAGTGAGGTAACACATTCCAAAAAAGGCAAACGTAATCACTAATAAGTAACTATTAGTTATAAAATAAAAGATAACTATGCTATAATCCATAGACCCAGAAAGACTAGGTAACAAGGAAGGTTCATGGGATACACTCAAATATCCCTGGGAAGGGGAAGTAGAAGAGAATTTATGAGTGGAATGAGGGTGGGTAGGGATGGGAACATGAGTGATCAGGTTGGGAGTATGGAGGGAGAAGTACTGAAAGAGACTACTGGAAATAGAGGGGGGAATTTTGGGGTCAGATTAAAAACCTGGCAAAAGGGAATTCTTTCAGTGCTGTGGGACAATGTTGTTGTACCCTGTAAAGATTTGTCACTTGTATTGGTTTAATAAAATGCTGATTAGCTAGTAGCAAGGCAGGAAGTATAGGTGGGGTGACCAGAACAGGAGAATTCTTGGGAGAGGAAAGGCTCAGTCTACAGTCATTACCCAGATGCAGAGGAAGCAAGATAAGAATGCCTCACTGATAAAAGGTACCAAGCTACAGGGCTAACATAGACAAGGATTATGAGTTAATTTAAGATGTAAGAGTTAATAAGAAGCCTGAGCTAATAGGCAAACCCATTTATAATTAATGTAGATCTCTGTGTGTTTCTTTGGGACTGAACAGCTACAGGACCAGGTAGCACAGAAACCTCTGTCAACATCCCAGGAATCTACAAGATGATACCAGCTAAGACTCCTAGCAATAGTGGATACACAGCTTGAACTGGCCTTCTCCTGTGGCCAGCTTAGTACCTAGTCTAATTGTTATCAGAGAGATTTCATCTAGCAACTGATGAAAACAGATGTACACCCATTAGACGGAGTTCAGTGAATCCCTGCAGAAGAGGGGGAAAAAGTATTGTAGAGACTAGAGGGTTCAAGGACACCCCCCCCAAAAACTCACGGAATCAACTAATATGGGTTCATAGGAGCTCATAGATACTGAACCAAAAACCAGGGAGTCTGCATAGGACTGACCTAGGCACTCTGCATTTATGTTACAGTTGTGTATCTTGGCCCTCTTATGGGACTCTTAACAGTGGGAACAGGGGCTGGCTTGGACTCTTTCACTGGCTTTTGGTACCCTATTCCTCATTCTGAGTCACCTTGACCAGCCTTAATATATGGGAAGATGCTTTGTATTACTGAAAATGGATGTGCCCTGTTTTGTTAATACTTATGGGAGAACTGTCCTTTCCTAAACAGAAAGGGAGGAGTGGATGGGGGAGTAGTAGGGGGTATGAAGAAGGGTCTAGGAGGAGAGAAAAAAGGGGAGAATTCAGCTAGGATATAAAATTAATTGATTAATTATTTTTTAAAAAAGAAACCTTATATAAAAAATGTCTCTCAAAAATATTAGAAATAGCATATAGTTATTATTTGATAATAATATGCTTGTTATACTGAGTGTTTTGGGGTCAGTTGAAATCAGCGACTTAATACCTTGTAAAAATCTGCTAAAGATTTTTATAAAGTATCCATCATTGCTTCCCTATATGATGTTTTTTGTGCCATTCAATAAAAAAGATCAAGCCCTATGTTAGGGATAAAACACACTTAGACAATGGAGACCCAACAAGATACACACAGACAGACTACGCACAAGCCAGAACCACAAACTAAAAACAGATAAAATAAATAGGAAGAGAAGTGAAGAATTCAAACTCAGGTTCACCCTGGTCAAATTAATCTAATGGGATGTGATATCTGTCCTTTCCTTAATGTGACAGGAAGCATTTTGGTGTCTTTGAGGCTGCCTAACACATCTAACTGACAGTACCATGTATCTAACTTTTCTCTATTTTTCTTCCTTTTCACCATCCCTAGTGTCTTGAAAACACTGTTCTTTTATCCTTCAACAATTTTGAAGCATTGGTAATTGCTCCATCATTATCTGAAAAAGGATTTTATGATAAAAGGAAATTGGGGCTGGAGATCTGGATAAAACTAAGGGCAAATGTTGCTTTACTGTGAAAATTTCTGGCCCTCTAATAGGACAATATGTATGACTCATTTTCAAAAAGAGAAATGCCATGAGACAATGCCATGTTTTTAGATCATGTTGCAGAGATAATGTTCCAAAAAAGCAAACATTCATGATATGAAGATACAGCTAGGAACACATACACACACACACACACACACACACACACACACACACACACACTGGAAGGCATTTGTTAACCATGTTCTTCATTAGTGTGAACATGTCTGACATTGTGTGCTTGTGAGCCAAGGAGGATTCTGACCCTTTTTTCTCAAACTAAAAGAGAAACCATTTTTGCAGAAACTTTTCAGTCTCTGAGTTGTGAGTAACTACTTCCTTCCTCTTCTGGAGTTAGCAAGCCGGGGAAGCTAGGAACTCAAAAGGGTGGTACCTCCTTGCTTACATTAATAAACATTAATGTAACAGAGCAGAAGTGAGCTCTCTAGAGATACAGAGGTTCTGATTTTCTGCAAAACTTAGAAAAAAAACATTAGATAAAAAGTTCACACTTTTCCATTTTTCTCAGAGGCCACTGCTAGCTAGTCAGACAATTCTGCCAAAAGTATCATAGCTGCAAGGTGATACTGTAATCTTAGTCACTTTATTTGTCTTAACATAATTATATTTTAAAACTAGCAATCACTCTCAGTTTTGATAATCACAGCAACAGCAATAATAATCACAGAACTGACCTGTGAACAAGATGATGCATTTCTTCGGGTAATTGTTTATCCAAACTATTTCATTTATTTATTTGTCTGTTTGTTTAAAAAGGAAATTAAATCATGTTAGTCTACATTGTTTATATTCTCAAGACACTCCACCAAAAGTTAATTATTTGTTCAGGGTCCTAAAAAAGGTGAAAGTAAATTTCCACTTCAAAGAATGCCGATATCCTAGTCCTGAAGCCAGCAACTCGCCGGGTTGTAATTCATAGAAGGGAAAGGAAGGAACACGATGCAAAAACATAACTTTAAAATTATAAGTATCAACATTTTTGAGTGATTACTGTGGATTATATTTGTTAAGTATGAACATTTATTATAGAATGTTCTATCTGCCACTTCTTACTGGGTTCAATAATACATTTGTGCACCCCTTAGTCATGCATCCCAATTGCCAAGTAACAGCCTATATGGGGCAGAAATATTTTTTTTCAGAAATAGTTTTTATTCATTTTCTTTTTCATAGATCCTTGTCCCATTTGGTCTAGACTTCACACAGTGGACTTGTGAATAAATTGTCAAGAGCACATAGCATAGAACAGGAACACTGCATAAAGTTTCAACTGAGAATACCACATACTTCCCAGTAGCTTATAAATCGGTAGGAATTCAGTGTTTCTCCTTACGACATCTGTGCAAATATAGAAATGCATCCGCTGTGTCCTCAGATAGAATGCCCTTCCTCTTTTTCACTTCTTCTGCTTCCTCTGTTCCATAAAGCTAAGAAGATAGAGCAGAGCAGAAAGCAATCAAAATGTCACTGACTTGGAAACAGATTTGCGATGCTAACCTGGGTGACGACAATAACTTTTAACACCAAACTAATGTGAAGGAGACCACAAGTCTATATAGCGACCATAGAAAGAGCCCTAAGACTACAGAAAATTTCAATAGAAAAATCTAAGAATAAGGTCAGAAGAATTTATGATGCAGTTATAAACCCATGTAAAGAGTATCTATTATTTCTCTAAATATTTCTATATATTTAAATATTTTGAAAGGGTTTGTTATATTGCCTGTTTTAGTAAGAAACCTGAAACAGTCAAATAAATATTAACCTCCATTTATCAAAGATTACCTTTAAAATTGAATGAGGATGTAACTAGTTGAATTGAAGAGTGACTTAATCCTCAAATGTAGAATCTGAAATCAGGAATGCTAAATGGTAGATTTCATAGACTGTTTAATGATGTTTTTAAAGTGTTGGTCAGAGCTGAATAGCAAATGGCCCATTCAGCTAAGACTTACAGACATGAATAAGAAAAGTCTATGTCATCTCAGTGTGGGTTGGATGGGATATTTATAGAAAGTCACGAGTGACAATTATAGCCCTTCACTAGCCTGGGCTTCTGTATTTTTCTAGGACATGGGTTGACTCATATATCATCATGCTTTTTGCCCATCATTGCTTCATCCCTTCTCCTTACAGCACAATACTGGTACCCACCACGGCAGTCTGAGGCCAGCCTCGGCTCTATTCCCACAATCCCTAAGTCAGAGTCTAAGGGGGAGCTAGGCTGGCGACAGTTGCCACACTTAGTGCAGCGGCTCCTAGACTAAGAGTCAAAAGCCAAGTCTGAGCCCATAAACCCAAGTGATCAAAAGGTCGGGTGGGGCGATCCTGTGTGATAAAGAAACTGAACCAAAGTTGAAGAATGAAGGGTGTGTTTGAATATAACCAGATATATGATCCAACTCTGACAACAATCTGGCACGTCTGAAGAGAGAGTGGTGGGGCGTGGGAAGCGGCAGCACCCTCAAGACTCACCGAATGTGACTGGTTTTGAATCAAAGCCTCCAACTAGGTAACAGCAGTGCAAACAGCATGTCATCTACATGAATTAGCAAGGCATGCCTGTGCCCCTGCCATAAACTAGTCTTCTAAGCAGGATGCAGGTGCAAAGTAACCCTTCTACGTTTTTCTAAAGTTACCACACTGGTGAGAACACACCTGGAGATCACAGGAAGAAATTCAGTCTTTGTCTTTGGGGAGCAAACAGCCTGATATAGATGAACTGGAAACTATTAATATTTTTCTAGTTCCTTCCCAAAAGATACATAATTATTTAAATGTCTAAGCACAGAAGCTGTTTCTACAGATGTAAAATAAAATGCAAGCTATTTTACCGGCAGAAAAAAAATGGAGGTTATCATTTGATTATCTTAATAAGTAATTCATAGCATTAAAAGACACTTTCAGTTTCCTGAGACTGTTAGATATGGCCGTTATATGTGAAATCCAAACCTGGCTAAAACTCTTATGCTTTGGCACTGCACTGATACCTCAAAATATAAGAACTTAATGGGACAAAAGATGAACATAGATCACAACAAGAAGAGTCATACAGAAAAATAGAAATGCTTTCATGAAAGACAATACAAAAAATAATTTTCTAGTAATTTATTAGCATGGCATTGAAACTTCAAGAGGTTGGCAACGCTCTGTGAAACTGACAAGTTCTGGGCTATCCTGCCTACTTCCCTTTGTGTTCATTATTCTATAACCATCAAACTCTTACTCAGCTACAGTGCATGCATGCCACCTGCTTGTTTACCACAGCTTATGTTAAAATATCTGTTGAGAAAATGCATAGTCAAATCAGCATATAATTGAATACTGTCTCTTTTTTATCCCCTTCCTTCTGTTATCATTTTAAAACATTTTATGTATTCATACATCTAGAAGATATTTTGTCATATCTACACCTATGACCGTTTTTCCCTCCCTCTGAACCTACTTTTCTGCCCAACAACTCTTTTTCTCCTACTTTATCGTCTTTTTTTTTTTTTAATGACCCACTGTGTTTGAAAGAGAGTTGCTTTCGTGAGTGTGGGCTGAGGTTCTTTACTGGAGCATGGGTAATATATGTCAATGGCTATACCCCAGAAAAAAATGACTCCCCCTCCTTTAGCAACCATTAACTGCCTATAGCTCCTCTGCTGGGAATGAGACCCTCATAATTCCCTCCCCGATGCATGTTTATTTGTTAACAAGTTCTGTATTATGCAGGTCTTGTTTCTGTAACTGCAGTTGTTATGATTTCAAGTGTGCAGTGACCATACTGTGCTCAGAGGACAGTGTTTCACAGCACTCTTCCTCATCCTCCAGCTCTGACATTCTATTCCCATTATCAGCAGTGTTCCCTTAGGGTCTAAGAGGATGACAGAGACAGACACCCTCTTTATAGCTAAGCACATTTTAAGAATGTATGTATTTTTACTTTCTGTTCATGAGCGCTTTCATACATGTATGTGTAGTGGCCTTTCATTTATATTTTAATAAAGAAAGCTTGCCTGGGAATCAGTAAAGTAAAACAGTCACACTGGCCAGCCAGGCCAGGCAGCAATGACATGCACCTTTAATCCCAGGAGCCACCCTAGAAACCAGGTGGCAGTGGTGCACGCCTTTAATTCCAGAACTAGAGAGGATTATAAAACGGGAGGAGACAGCTCTCAGACAAATCTCATTCTGAGATTCCTGGAGGCAGGATCGCCATATTAGACTGGGATAGAGGGAAGAGCCTTTGGCTGGCTGTTTTGCTTTTCTGACCTTCCGGTTGAACCCCAATTTCTATCTCTGGGCTATTAATCATGCTTTATATATGTATGTGGACTACATGTGTGCCTGATTCCCAAGGAGGCCAGAAGAAGGCATCAGGTCCCTTGAAGCTGATGTCAGACATGGCTGTTATCCACCATGTGGGTGCCAAGAGCTGCATCCCGGTCCGTTGCAGAAGCAGCGGGTGTTCTTCAGCCACCGGAGTTGAGCACTTACCAGTCACGTATTCTAAGCCTTTGACCAGTTACACATCTCTATACTGACTGCTGCCCACTGTAAAAAGAAGCTTCTCTGACCAAGGGTGAGAGCAGCCCTGTCTGTCTGTGTAGACCCAAATATTTAGAAGACATCTTGACAATGCCATTTAGCAAAGCAATGGTGTAGAGTCCGCTCTAAGGCCTATGACCTTCCTAGTCTGGTTGACAGTACCAGGCATGAATTTCCTCCTGTGGAGAGAACCTCAAATCCAATCACAAAGCAGCTGGATACCCCCAGGAGTCAGTTATTCCCTGTGGCACCAGGGAACACATTTCTCTGACAAGTCAGTGAATGTTGTCTCAGAGCTGATCACTGGGAGAAACCACCGGGGACTTGTTTTTCTCACAGCAGACTACACTGTGCCTCCTAGCACCGTGAAAATTAGCCAGCTTGAAGGAAACTTTCGGCTCAGTTCCACCTTGGTTACTCCATGTTCTGAGACAAAATTTATGATGTCTTCAGCAAGAGGGCCTTACCAACAATTTCTGGAAGGCTACCAAGATTGATTGATGGCAATATCTTGTGGAACCTCTGCCATCAACAGCTCTTTGAGTGTGTGGTGGTTTGGATGAGAAATGCCCCTACAATCTCAGGTTTGTAACACAATCCTAATTAGTCTTATTAAATAAAAACCCAGAGTCAGATAGCAGAGTAAATGCTGAAAGATCAGAGAAGTAAAGGAACCAGACCTAGAGAGACCTTTTACCACTACCGAATCCTCAGACCAAAATGGGCAAGATTCTGTCTCCACATATCCTCAGACTGAACGCCACGATCTCATGGCTCCTCCTGAATCTTATATTCCTTTCTCCTCCCAGACATATCCCTTCCTGTATCCACCTTCCTAGTTCTAGAATTGAAGGCATGTGAATCTCAAGTACTTTGATTAAAGATGTGAGCTACCACCACCTGGCTCTCTTCCTCTTTGAGACTGAATCAGTCTAGTGGAGCCCAGGATGACCTTGAACTCACAGAGCTCCACCTGCTTCTGCTTCCCAAGTACAGGGATTAAAGTGTGTGTCCCCACTGCCTGGCCTCTATGGCTAACTAGTGGCTTAACTCTGCACTCTGATCTCCAGGCAAGCTTTATTTGTTAGATCACAAACAAAATGTTTAATGTGTTCTTAGGGGTGCACCCACACACTGAGACAATGGGGATGTTCTATTGGGAACTGACCAAGGCCAGCTGGCCTGGGTCTGAAAAAGCATGGGATAAAACCGGACTCGCTGAACATAGCAGACAATGAGGACTACTGAGAACTCAAGAACAATGGCAAAGGGTTTTTGATCCTACTGCAAGTACTGGCTTTGAGGGAGCCTAGGCTGTTTGGATGCTCACCTTACTAGACCTAGATGGAGGTGGGTGGTCCTTGGACTTCCCACAGGGCAGGGAACCCTGATTGCTCTTTGGGCTGACGAGGGAGGGGGACTTGACTGGGGGAAGGGGTGGGAAATGGGAGGCAGTGGCAGGGAAGAGGCAGAAATCTTTAATAAGTAAATAAATAAAAATAAAAAAAAACAACCAAACAAAAACATGTCACCACCCAGTCATTCGTATATTTGGTCCCCATTTGGTGGTCCTGTTTGTGGAGCTTCAGATGGCCCTCCACTGCTGAAGGAAGTACTGCACTAGGAATGGGCTTGAGATTAAAAGCCAGTTCCATCTTCCAAGTGCGTGTCTGGATTTGGAGATGTGATCCACTGGATTCCTGTCCCTACCACTTGCTGCTATGCTTCCCTCACCAAGATGGACTCCCATCCCCTTGGAACTGCAAACTCAAATAAAGTTTCTCTTTTATAAGTTGCCTCAGTCGTGATATTTTATCACAGAAATAAAAAAATAACTACTACAGGGTGGTATCCACACCTGTCTCTGGAACTTTTGTTTAATAAGTGATAGCTTCTGGGAACAGAATGATTTACACATGCAGGGAAATTCCATTTAAATGGGTTATCTTTTTAAATCATGCCTTATGTTTTTTTTGTTTTGTTTTGCTTTTAAATATTTACCCTTAAAATGCCACTTGCATGTTAGAAACTTAATTTTGGTGTACTAGAACTAGATTTCAACAAAAGGGATTTCAATGATTGTTTGTGTCTGGGTACTGACGGCTTTTTGTGTCTTTTAAATATTTTATATCCATTGAAAACCCTCCCCCCCACAAACATATTTTATTTCTATAATTGTTAACTAAAGTTGACAAAATTTTCTTTATAATCTCCCTTTCTCTCACCTGAGTTTGTAAGTACATTACTGTCTATATTTTCTTAATAGGAACTCTTAGCCAAAGAGAAGTTTGGTTGATTTTCATGTATGTACATTTGACCAGCATGGCTGTGTTTTTCTCGTAGATAATTCAAACAATATAGAAAAATCAAAAGAAAAAAAACAATGCAATCTGAAATCAATCCTTAGAGATTTCTCATGTTAAGTTTTGGGGACACGTATTCTATGTATTTGTATCTGTAAAGAATCAATACAGAGTTATGTATAATGGGGATCTTTCTGGTCAAGACATTTTAAAATAATGTTTTCAGTCAATCATAAAGTCCATAAACACAGAGCTCATCATAACCTGCAGGGCTGCATACATAACCTGGCCCCACCTCTTTCCCTTTTCAGCAGCAATTTGTCTGAGTCATCTACATTCAACCACCGGCATTTCTTGATATTTCTCAAGTACAAAACACAAACAAACAAAAACTACCTGTCATACTCAAAATGCTTTTTTCACTATTTCCTTTGCATTGATGTGTTAGTCAACTTTACATTACTATAAAATGCCTGAGATAACCAATTTAGATAGAAAAAAGTTTCCTTTTACTTACAGCGTTAGAGTTTTAAGATCTGGGTAAATTACCTTCTTTTCTTGGGGCCAGGAGTGGTGCATCATGGTGGGGGAAAGGGGGAGAGCAGAGCCACATAATCCATCACCTGGAAGTGAAGAAGTAAAAGGAGGAGTGAGCTCCACAATCTCCTTCAGGATTAAGCACCTCACACTCCCCCACTTCCTAACATTCTAAGCTAGAGACTAAGCCTTTAACATGGGCTTGGGGATGGAAACACTTAAGAAATAAACTGTAACAATTGGAATAAATCTCTTTTTGTTTTTTAAACAAACAATTCCGCACTTGTCACTCAGGTCCCACAGTTTTCCACAGTGACTCTATCAGGTATTACCAAGTCCTTCTGTGGTTTATCACTCCAAGTAACAAATGATTTTAACTCTACCCAAAACTGTCTTATTGATTTCTCTAACATCTGGGGAAATTTACAATGAATTCTTTAAACAGCAGCGAGGTTACTAATAAATTTGCTAATAAAAAAAAAATCAAGACACTGTCAGAAGTCAAGAGTCTAAGAAAAGGTGTTCTTTAAATAAGTTGTGGGTCATTGATTTCTATCTTCTAACACACACTCACACGCTCACACACTCACACATACACATACTCTTACACACACATCCTCACACATACACACCCTTCACACACTCACACATACATACTTTTACACACATATGCATACACATACACATTCACATACGCGCACATATACACAAATTGGCCTGGCTTGGTCTTCTGAAACCTCAAAACCCACCTTCAATGACTTGTTTTTCTCCAACAAGGCCACACTTTCTAACCCTTTTAAATAGTACTGGTGCAGGACAATTCTGTATTCTGTCAACTATGTTTTAAATAAATGCTGATTGGCCAGTAGCCAGGCAGGAAGTATTGGCGGGACAACTAGACAGGAAGTAGAGGTAGGGCAATGAGAACAGGAGTATTCTGTGAAGAAGGAAGCTCTTCCCAATCTTGTTTAGACACCGAAGAAGGAAGATGTGACCTGCCCTGCTGAAAAAGGTACCGAGCCATGTGGCTAATATATACTAGAATAATGGGCTAATATAAGTTATACAAGTTAATAAGAAGCCCGAGCTAATGGGCCAATCAGTTTATAACTTATGTGGAACTCTATGTGATTTTCTTTGGGACTTGCTGGCTGTGGGAATTGGGCAGGAAAGAAACCCCAGCAATCAGGCCCACATGCTACAGAATGATGCCAACCTGTGGATGACTGTATCCACATAAAGCCAGAAAGAGCTCGGGAAGTAATTCTAGACAGAAAAGCATAGCTTATTGATAGCAGCATTTTCTCTGGTGGGCTCTGTTTGCTAGAGGCAAGCACTCTCATTTAAGAGAGGCTTCCTGGCTTAGCATTAGCTGCAAAACTCTGTAGCTCTTTAAGAGGTCCTGTCACAAAATACTTAAATGGTGTTGATGAAAAGCTGACCACATGCTTTTTGGTTTTCAGCCATAGGAGAAAAAAAAAGCTGTGCTGTTTTAAAATGCAAGCTTTCTGGGCTGTTCTGCCAGGACAAACTCTCACTCTTTTAGGCAGGCAGTCCAACTATGGAGCATTTGAGTGTGGTTTGTGAGCACACTGCTGCAGCTTTCTTCCTGGTAGGGACCTTGAAACGCCATAGAGCCGTGGCAATAAACATGGCTCCAGTGATACCTCTACCATGAGACTAGAATCTCAGAAAGCTAAGGAATGGGCAGGATCCATCTGTCAAAGCCACAGCCTTAATCCTAGCCATATTGCCTAGAAATTTAAAGACTCATGTGGTCAGAAAAAGAGAGTATGCAGTAAAGAGAGATTCAAAGATGAAGAAAATCTCTAAATGGTTTACAGTGTGTTAAAAATATATGCAGGCTAAAGTCCTTAAAATAAAGAAGAAAGAAAGACAGTAGTCAGGTGTGGTAGTGCACACCTTTAATCCCAACACTTGGTAGACAGAGACAGGCAGACTTCTGTGAGTTCAAGGTATGCACATGCCTTTAGTCCCAGCACTTGGGAGGCAGAGGCAGGCAGATCTCTGTGAGTTCAAGGACAGCCTGGTCTATAGAGTAAATTACAGGACAATCAAAGATAAGTAGAGAACCTGTCTCAAAAAGCCAAAAATTAAAAGTAAAAGTAAGAGAAATAGAGGTCAAAGTAAAGCCACATAAAGATTTTAAAAACAAAAAGAATCTTGATTAATCCAAGACAGGTATTTTGAAAATATCTTGACTTCAAAATTGAAGTCAAAAGGTATGTTACTTTGGAGAAAATGATTTGCTTTTGTTTCCACAGGAAATGAGAGGTTGTGGGTTCATTCTGAGTTAAGAAAAATCAGGTTTGATCAAGGAAGGCCTTGATCAAGAAATCTCCAGTAGGAACAGAGGCCCAGATGTCAGAGTTCTACATTCAGAACAGATTCAACACTGCTGCCTGAGATGATTAAGACTCACAGGATACTCTAATCAGGACTTGATCATAATTCTAAATTTTCTTTAGGTCCCCATAAGATTATCAGCAGCCCAAATCAGCAGGAAGTAGCCTGGAAAACTATGCCCACATTCCCCAAAAACGGACTATGGATGTTCTTGTTTTCTAAAAAAAAAAAAAAGGGGGGGGAGCCTGAGCTAATGGGCCAATCAGCTTATAACTTTTGTAGAACTCTGTGTGATTTTTGGGGGGGTCTTAATGATTGTGGGAACCAGGCAGCACTGGGACCTGGTGGGAGGAAAGAAACCAGGCAGGACAGAAAACCTGTCAACACAGTACTACTCCCTAAGAGTTCAAATCTATGAGCCTTTGGGGGCTGCTCTTTTGATATGATAATACAACATTACCAAAAGCAACTTGGAAAGAAAAAGATTTATTTCATCTTACAGTGTGTAGTCCATTATCCAGAGAAATCAGAAGAGGATCTCAAAGCAGGAACCTGGAGGCCACAACTGGGACAGAGGCTATAAAGGAGGGATAGTTATTGGACTGCTTCTCCAAGGCTTAATCAGACTGCTTTCTTACACTCCCTAGGATCACCTGTCCTGTGGTGGCACCATTCACCATCCACAAAGTGCTAGGTCCTCCCACATCTATCACTAAAAAATAAATGTACTACAAACTTGCCCACAGGCCAATCTTGTGGAAGCATTTTCTCAGTTAAGGTTTCCTATTCACAAATGACTTCAGTTGGAATAAAGTTGATACAAGCTAGGCACACAAACCTCTAATCTCCACATACATGTGCACACACATGTACACTTCCACATGCATGCACCTATATACCTTCATGAGCTCTTCCCCCCACACACAACACATGTGCACTTGCACGTGCAGCCTCCTCCCACACACACTGAAAATCTTAACAGAAAACTTAAAAGCAGATACCAGTTATTTCTACTGCAAGAGAAACTTTATTATATTCATTCACTAGAAGCCTCATCAAAGCTGAAGTTGATGGCCACCATTTTACTCTCTGTAGAAAGGGGCATCTCAGAGGAACCCTCAGTTTTCCCTGCTCTCCCACTTAATCAGCATGACATAACTGCTCAAAGCAAAGCCCATATTCCCTGGATAGAAGAGCATAGCATCTCTTTGCTCCCCAAACTCCTATTTCAGAATATCATTTTTCATTTACCTGGGGGAGAACTTGAAGGACCATTAAAGTTTGGCTCAAAAGAAAAACCCAATCTTGATTTAATGATAAGTTGTTTATGCCCTTTAAAGCAACAAAGAAAATATGTAAATAGCTTTAAAATAGTAACTAGACATTTCAGATGAATTAATTAGATCTATACCAGAAATAGACGTGTAAAATATGAAAATTTTGCAAAAATAGAGTATGGAATCCTTTGCACAAATGTACAAATTATGCAGTAAGTATGCAGACACTTGAAAAGGGAGACCCTTCACTAACCTCAAGGCAGTGGTTGCCACTGGAAAAGAGAGTAAGATTTGATATATTTATTTGATATAAATAGGGTTTCAATTCTCTAAAGTTTTATTTTCAAAAACAAAAAAAGGAAAGGAAAAGAAAAGCAAAAAGAAATTCAAATGGCAAAATGTCATGAGATTTTTAATCTGAGAGTTGCTTGTATAAATGAGTAAATATGCTTAGCAGTTTGAGATATTACTCTGGAATTAGAAGAGAAGTTTGTGGCAGAAAGAACTCCAGACAAGAGATAAGAGATAATGGAAGTTAACATGGTGGAATAAGAAGATAAAAATTGGAAAAAGGAATTTATTCCATGTGTACAATTTGGGCGTATAAAGCTTTTCTGGAAAGGATATTCAATCCAAATCACTTTCTTATTATTCATACAGAAATATGCAAGCTTATCAGTTTGAGATGTCAGAGAACAGAATTTGAATTTTAGGAACCCAATGAGAAATGAAAGCCTGAAAGAACACAGATAGCTTCTGAGGCTGGGGAGATTGTTCTGGTAGTAAAGGGCTTGCTCTGCAAACATGAGGACCTGAATGTAATTCTTGGCACCTGCATAAAAAGATGGGTATGGCATCATGCCCTGTAATCCCAGGACTGGAAAAGCAGAGACAGGAGGGTCCCTGGGGCTCGAGACACTGCCTCAAAATCTAGAGTGAAAAGTGGCTAACAATATTGATCTCTAGCCTCCATGTATGACTGCAAGCATATCTATAACATGCAAACTCATACAAGTACATGCGTACACACACAGACACACACACACACAGAGCGCGACAGAGAGAGAGAGAGAAAAAGAGACTGATCCTGTGCTCTGAGGGTAAGAACAGTCTGCAACCTAGAGTAGGGTTTTGTTATTATCTTGAGTTTTCCACTCATTCACCCAAACAAAATTGAAAGTCAACCTTCAGCCCAATAAATTTCAAACTAAATTTCAATTAATCATCCATTAGTCATTTCTAATTTATTTTGTTATTTTTAATTATGTGTATAAGGAAGTGGGGTAGGTATGTTCATATGACCTCAGAATCCAGTAGAGGCAAGACTCATTGGATCCACTAGAGCTGGAGTTACAAAGAGTTGTGAGCCATCCAATATGAGTTCTGGGAACTGAACTCAGGTCCTCTGGAAGAGAAACAAGTACTCTTAACTTCTAAGGCAT